ACTTCCAAGCGTGGTTCCAGATATTTTGTCTCATTCATAGATGATCATTCAAGATATGCTTTGGTTTATTTCCTGAAGCATAAGAATGAGGTATTTGAGACATTCAAGAAGTGGAAGGCGATGGTTGAGAACAGGACGGGCAAGAAATTGAAGACACTGAGATCTGATAACGGTACAGAGTATACAGACGGTGCTTTCAAGGAGTTCTGTGATCAGGAAGGGATTGCTAGACACTGGACAGCACTGGACAATTAGATCTACACCATAGCAGAATGGGGTCGCGGAAAGACTGAACCGAACACTGCGGGAGAAAGCAGTGAGTATGCGATCATATGCTGGTTTGGGCAAAGAATGGTGGGCAGAATCGATTGCTATAGCTTGCTATATAGTAAATCGATCTCCACATTCGACATTAGACGGTGATACACCCTATCGGGTGTGGTCAGGGGAGCATGCAGATTATAAGAGGCTCCGAATTTTCGGTTGTACCGCCTACTATCACGTCAACGAGGGAAAGCTTGACGCGAGGGCCAAGAAGGCAATTTTCTTGGGGTATGCAAAGGGTGTAAAAGGTTACCGCCTTTGGTGTACAGAAGATTCGAAGTTCGTGATCAGTAGGGACGTTACATTTGATGAGAAGTCCATGATTGATAGGGTGCCTAAAGATGGTGGTGTTGATACTGTCGGGACTCCCGAGTCCCAGGTTATTGAGATAGAACCGAAAGACCAACCAGATTCTAGTCGTGTTCAAGTGGGAAATAAGGTAGATGATGAGCTTGAGCAGGAGGAGGTTCAGCAGGCAGAATACACAGCACTACAACAATAGGGCAGTCGAGGATAGCTTTTGCTTTCACTAGACCAAGAGGTGAGTATACAGGCAGGTACAGAAGCTGGGACTTGATCAACCCCTGAAGCACTAGTGGCATGTTAATTGGTATGAATACCACATCTCGTGGAGGAAGATGAGCCGGTCTCCATTCAGGAAGCTATTGCGAGAACAAGAATATCGAGAGTTAGTTGGCTGACGATGGAGGAGCGAGAATGGGAATCTCTACGAGAAGACCAAACATGGGAGGTGGTCCCATTTTGCCGCGTAGCGAAGAAAAGCTATTGGTTGTAAGTGGGTGTATAGAAGAAAGGCAAGATCGCTTCAGAGCTCGAGTGGTACAAGGCCAGGCTAGTGGCTAAGGGGTTTGCACAAAGAGAGGGTATGGATTACAATGAGATATTTTCTCCGGTGGTGAAACACACTTCTATTCGGGTGCTATTGAGTATTGTTGCTCATGGTGATCTTGAGTTGGAACAACTCGATGTTAAAACGACCTTCTTACACGGAGACTTGGATGAAGAGATCTATATGCATCAACCTGAGGGATACAAGGTTGAGGACAAGGAGAATCATGTTTGTCACTTGAGGAAATCACTATATGGATTGAAGCAATCTCCACGGCAGTAGTACAAGCGATTTGACTCCTTCATGCTAAAGCATGGGTTTTCCCGAAGCGACTATGATTGTTGTGTCTACATTCGGAAGCTTCATGGAGGTGATTATATCTATCTCCTGTTGTATGTGGATGACATGCTTATTGCATCGAAAAACAAGGTGGAGATAGATAAGCTAAAATCTCAACTTAGCAAAGAGTTCGAGATGAAGGACATGAGCGCTGCAAAGAAAATACTGGATATGGAGATTAGAAGAGAGCGGGCAAATCGGCGATTGTTATTGAATCAGAAGGGCTACATAGAGCGGGTGATCACGAGGTTCGGGATGCAAAGTGCTAAGTCGGTGGTAACTCCATTGGCTCAACACTTCAGGCTTTCAGGTAAACAATCTCCCACTACAGCGGAAGATAAGCCACACATGGAGCGTGTTCCCTATGCTAGTGCAGTTGGCAGTTTGATGTACGCAATGGTGTGTACACGCCCTGATATTTCACATGCGGTTAGTGTGGTCAGCAGATTCATGGCGAATTCGGGAAAGGCGCACTAGGAAGCGTTGAAATGAGTCTTGAGGTACTTGAAAGGTACCGCGGATACGGGTCTGTGTTTTGGTGGAGATACATGTCAGATCAACGGGTTTGTGGACTCAGATTATGCGGGCGATCTAGATAGACGACGATCTACTACTGGTTATGTATTCAGGATACATGGAGCTCCAGTTAGTTGGCGATCGATGTTGCAGGCTACAGTGGCACTTTCTACAACAGAGGCCGAGTACATGGCTATGGCGGAGGGAGTGAAGGAAGCATTGTGGCTGTGGGGTCTTCTAGACGATTTGGGGATCGAGCAGGAAAGCGTGAACTTGTGGTGCGATAGTCAAAGTGCAATTCACTTGGCGAAGAATCAAGTTCACCATGCTCGTAAGGGTGAGGTGGAGACAATTATTTGGAGAACAATCGCAGAACTACGGTTAGCTTGATCCCGGTGGAGGGTTCGTAGGCAGTCGTAGTATAGTGACGCAGCTGGTTTGGCCTGGTTCTGTCCTGGATCTCTCTGGTGGAGTTCGTGGGGTTCCTCTGGTGTTCGTCTAAAATTTGAGGTTTATCAAATAATGTACGAGGTGGAGAATTGTGAACGGGTGGAGCCCACCCACGTGGGTACGTGGGTCTGCCCACGTCCACGAGATAGCACCGCCCCCCTCTGCTTTCTTGCGCGCGCACGTCACCACGCCTCGAGCCCAGCGCGCCTCGAGCCCAACACTCGCCTCATGCTCGAGCTGCTCCTGCGCGCGCTCCTTTTCCCGCGTTTCTTCTCCTGCCTTAATTTTCAGCCTTGCCCCCTTTGGTTTCCTATAAATAGAGAAGGAGGTGGAGGAGTTATATTGTGGGGTAAAAATCTCAAGAGGAGTTTTTTGAGAGAAAAGAAAGAGAGGAAGAGAGAACTTGTAAAGTTTGGTATTTTTTCCTCATAGTGAAAAACCCCCCTCCCGTGGACGTAGGCTAGTTAGCCGAACCACGTAAATCTCGTGTTTATATTTGTATTATCTGTGAGTTGCCATAGCTTATAGGTTCCCTCGATATTTTAGTCCTAGAACTGATGAGAGGAAGAGTGTATATTTCACTTTGATGAAATATATCACTTTCGATTCTTGTTTCCTTTGAGAAATAAGAATTTCACTATCTATTCTAGTTTCCTTTGAGAAACAAGAATATAGAGGTTGACTTGTGCTTTTGTGACAACAATAGTCAGGGCTTTCTCTCAGGTGATATCGCTTCCGCGGCGGTGGGCGTCACTCTGCGCCCCAACAGCATGAAAGCATAATTTTGTCAGAATGAATAAATATGAGCAAAGTGATGCATCTTGCACATGAACATAACATGAAAGCCCAAATTTGGTAAGATATCTCATAGAAAAGTTCAAGAGATAGAGACCACCACCAAACATTTCAAAAATACAGCAGAATAAGGGCCTACATTGATCACCAATAAAATTTCGTACCTTTCATATACCGAATTTTGTCCCCAAATAAGTCTACAAGTCAACCGTATACCAAGCAGGGATATGTATCTCCCCAGATAACAACATATATTCATCAAAACATGCATTTGTGCAATCAAAATAAGTGCATAATTGATCGTAAATCGTAATTGAATCAACCAGGCATAAGTTTGATTCAAACACAAAACAATGTTACGAAAATATACTAAAGACCGTATTTTTTTTACTGTAATCCACTCCAGAAGTTTGCTTTGATTTCATAGCCGTCAGCTGCTCATCAACTACCTTGAGTACCCTCTCTGTCAGCTTTGTAATGGGGTTAAAAGCTAAATATGCAACTTCATGTTGGGCGGTTGCTGTATGCAAAGAGGATCCTCCCTCCCCCTTTGTTAT